AGGCTGCATATTACATAATGATCAATAACTGATTGATGGATAGACAGGCAGTCTGATCAATGTTGTGCCACAGTATAGTTTGTTTAATGACTACCCTCTCTTAAGAAGAACCCTGAAAAATTTTGAGACTATTTGGAAAAGATTGACCAGGATGGGGAGAGATCTAAACATTTTTTCTTTGTATATATATAAAAATTAAAGACTCTGCCAACTTTTACCTAAAAAAGAAAATTTTAAGAAGACATAGTAATGATTGTGAAGTATTTGAAAGAGTGAACTGTGGGAAAAGACTTAGGTATTCTTTTTAACTCCAGATAGCTGTCCTAGTACGAGAGGACAGCAATTATAGGAAAATGGTGTTACAGGAGAACAATTGTGCTTCAGTATGAGAAATTTCTAATAAATTGTATATTTGCTCTTCAGTGTCATTTACATTAAACTTTGAATGCTTTCTGGCAAGTACTGCTACTTATGGTCAATAACATTCATCACACTTTTATCCTTAGCATATGTGTTTAGTGAGTTTTTGACATTGAGCCATATGACACTTCTGGAGATGAGGACTTTATAGGAATTCTAGCTACACATAATAAAAAATAATTTAATCTGAAGGTCTTAAATATTTCCCTATCCTTTTTGGAAGAGGTTATACTACTCAAAAGAAAATATAAATAAATGCATGTTGAATTTTTAAAATAAATATGCACTTGTTTATTTTGGATTCACACGTGGATATGTAATTTGTCTTTTTTTTTTTTTAAAGATTATTTATTTATTTATTTGACAGAGAGCGAGCGAGAGAGAGATCACAAGTAGGCAGAGAGGCAGGCAGAGGGGGAGGGCGAAGCAGGCTCCCTCCTGAGCAGAAAGCCTGATGCAGGGCTCGATCCCAGCACCCTGAGATCAGGACCTGAGCCGAAGGCAGAGGCTTAACCCACTAAGCTACCGAGGCAACCCTGGATATGTAATTTTTAAATATGAAAGTTTTTTTCTAAATTTTTTTTACCTAAAATCATTGGTTTTCCATTTGAAGATTTCCATTTGAAGTACATTAAATCTTGAAATGTTTTTGCTTCATTCACATCGTTTTAATAAGAGGGTTTGTTGCCCTTACAGCACAAGGGGAAATTGAGAGTTTCACTTTTTATCAGAGTCTTGATTTTGTGGTTGTGCATAATGGAGTGTCATTTGTAATGAAGGGCAGTGAGGGCACCACCATGTTCATGGAAATTCTCAGTCCTTACAGATTTTGTGTTTACATTACTCCCTTGTGGTTAGACAAGAGGAATGGGACCATGAGTGTTACAACTTTTAAATTATTTAAATTATTTTAAATTATAACTACTTGTGATAGAAGATTAGATAAAAGATTAAAAACAGTGGAAATTTCAAAAAAATGTTTTAAAGGGGACTTGGGCTTAATGAGACATTTTCTGGGGCCAATATATACAGATTAGCATTCAAAAATTTTTCCTTTAAATATTTGTATGCATAACTATTTAAGCCTGAAGTTAACTTTCAAATCAAGAAATTTCTGTTCTTGAGAAGGTATAGCATTTTTAGAAATATTTAAGTTTACACCTATTATATATCATATAATCCTTGAAGTGGCATGAGTTAGGCAATTTTTTTAAAGAATTTTTTCAAAGAATTTTTAAAGAATTCCAAATATTTTTGTTCTATATTAAAATAGAGTTGTAGAACAAAGTTCTTATGATTAAGATTAGGTTATATATAAAATTCATTTCAAAGAATAGTCAAAATAGTTTTGGAAAAGATATACAGAGTTCGAAAATTCACACCACCTAGTTTCAAGAATGATTACATATTAATCAAGGCAGTGTGGTATTCACACAAGGATAAATACATCAGTGGGAGAGATTGGAAAAGTCCCAAAATTCAGCCCACAAGTATCTAGTCAACTGATTTTCAACAAATATGCTAAAGTAAATTCAATGGCACTAATGAATAGTCTTTTCAATAAATGGTGTGGAAACAACTAGTTATCCATGTGGAAAATGATGAAGCTCCACCCTTACCAAACATTGTGCATGAAAATTAATTTGAAAGATACAGATCTAATACAAATTCAAAACATTAACACTTCAGTAGGAAAATAGGAGAAATCTTAAAAATCTTACATGAGGCAAAGATTTCTTAGATAGGAAAAAAAAAGACACAAATCTTTTAAAAAGTTATCAATTGAACTTCCTTGAAGTTCAATTTATAAGACACAATTAAGAAAATTAAGAGGTTGGGGTGCGTGGCATGATCCCAGGGTCCTGGGATCGAGCCCTGCATAGGGCTCCTTGCTCCCTGCTCAGAGAGCCTGCTTCTCCCTCTGCCGGCCACTCTCCCTGCTTTCGGTCTCTCTTTCTCTTTGCCAAAAAAAAAAATAAAATAAAATATTTTAAAAAAATTTTAAGGGGCCCCTGGGTGGCTCTGTGGGTTAAGCCTCTGCCTTCAACTCAGGTCATGATCTCAGGGTCCTGGGATCGAGCCCCGCATTGGGCTCTCTGCTCAGCAGGGAGCCTGCTTCCCCCCCCCATCCCCCCCACCTGCTGCTCTGCCTACTTGTTATCTCTCTCTGTGTCAAATAAATAAATAAAATCTTAAAAAAAATTTTTAAAAAGGAAAAAAGAGAAAAGAGGTTAAATCACAGACTGGGAGGGGATAATAAATCAAACAGATACACAGGCATTATTTGTATGTATGTATGTATCTATGTGTGTTTATTACATACAGTATACATAGATAAAGATATGCATCCAGAATGTAGAAAGAACTATTACAGCACAATAATAAAAAGCTGGATAACCCAGATTTTTTTAAATTGGCAAAAGATTTGAAAAAATATTTCACTGAAAAAGATATAAGAATGCTCAGTAAGTGCATGAAAAGATACTTAAATGTCATTGGTCATCAAAGCATTGGAATTAAAACCATTATAAAGGTACAATTAGATATTCAGAGGAATAGCTAGAATTCTAAAAGACAGTACCAAGTGTTGGTTAGAATGTAAAGCAACTGTAACTTTCCTGCCTTACTAGCAGGACTATAAAATGGTATGACCACTTTGAAAAATAATTTGGCAATTTCTTTAAAATTTGAAGATACTGTAGACTATCAATTCCACTATTAGTTATTTGTGTAAGAGAAATGAAATTTATGCCCCCCTAACGACTTGCACACAAATGTAACTTTGCTCATAATAACCAAAATCCAGCCTAAATATCCACCAATAGAAGAATAGATAAGCAAATGTAGTACATTTTGGTACTGGTACATCTTGTACATCTGGTACAATGAAATACTATTCAGTAATAAAACAGAATGAATTACTGATACTTGCATCAGCATGGATAAGTCTCTAAAACATGGTGAGCCAAAGAAGTCAGACACTCTATGATTCTGAAACTCTAGAAAAAACAAATCTAATATGGGCCCAAGGTGAGGATGATTTCCTAGAAAGGGAAATGGTATATTTTAGGTTGATGGAAATGTGTATTTTTATTGATGTGGTGATTACAGGTTATGTGTGTGAAACTTATCAAACTGTGCATTTAATACTGATCATAATAATTTATTATGTGTAAATTATACCTGAATAAGGATGAAAATTATATAATTTATAAACTCTACTTATACTTGATTCCCAAAGGAAAATAACTCAAATGGTTAATGAGCACCCAAAAGCGTAACTTCAAAGTCCTATTTGGAACTATATAAAAATACTGCTATAAAGACAATTAATTTCTTGCATCTAAGCATAAAAATTTTGACTTGTAGTGTATTTTTACAGAGAATGGTGGTGTATTTCATTTAAACTTATGATCCAATACAGCAACATACTATAATCCAAGAACAACATCAGTTAACTATAGAAACATGATTAAACAAAGAGTCACAACCAAAATAATGAAATTAAATGATATGTAGAAACTAAATCATGTGTACTACTCATATATTTTTAGAAAAATAGAACCATATATTAGTATGAAAAGATGTTAAGAGAATAGTAATTTGTTAAGCAAGACACAGTATTGATGAAGTTGTATCCTAAGTGATTGCAGCTTGCAACAGTGAATGACTTCCTTGCTTTTATTTTATACTTTTTCTTACAGTAATTGATTTGAACAGATATTTCCCTTTGTCCCTTTATTTCTTGAAACCACACTTTTCCTCATAGCATCTCTTTCTCCGAAACTATGACCTCTTTTTATTTTAGTTTTTCTTTTCTTTTTTTTTTAGGGTGTTTTTTTGTTTTTGTTTTTGTTTAGTTTTTCTTCTAAACAAAACCCAAAACCTGTATTTGTTTCCCCTTCTTATTTCCAGAGTTATAGTAACTTAGCAGAAGTTAATGCCTCTTTATTTACTCACCTAAGGCATTCTATTCCTCAGAATGTTTTTGAAGCAGTTTTCGCATTGTAAAAAGATCAGTATTAGGGAAATGATTCTCAAGTACAGCTGTACAAGAAGTTAAGAGTTTGCTTCCACTTTGTAGAGTATCAAAAATTTGTGAAGTACTGTAGAATGGATTACATCTCTTTTGTCTTCTCCCAAAGTAATTTTTTTTTTCCTTTTTAGAGAGAGCAGCATGCAAGTAGGGGGTTGGGGGTGGCAGAAGGAAAAGAAGAGAGAATCTTGAGCTGGTTCCACACCCAGCACCCACTGGAGGCAGGGCTAGTCTCAAGACCCTGAGATCATGACCTGAGTGAAAATCAGGAGTCAGATGCTTAACGGACTGAGCCACCCAGACACACCATTTTTTAATTGTCCCTTACTTTTCCCCTTTCTTTTCCTTTAGGGTACGTCTGCAGTCACCTGTTCAGTTGACAGCTAACCTCCTCTTCCATTCAGGCATACCATTTATAGTATATATGTGATACTCTCTTCTTGAGGCTTGACGGACCTTGATGAACTATCAAGCTCAGTTACTTTTTTTTTTTTTTTTAAGCTGGAGAATCCAACCATATTGGTCTCTTTTCACCTTCCTACAGATTTGTTATTGGGCGAGAAAAGCCAGGACAAGTTAGTGAGGTTGCCCAGTTGATAAGCCAGACGCTGGAACAAGAAAGGCGCCAGAGAGAGCTGTTGGAGCAGCACTACGCCCAGTACGACGCCGACGACGATGAGGTAGGTGGCGCTCACAAGGTCCTTCCTGCCTTTCTCCCCACTATGTTCCTCCTTTACAAAACTCTCTTTACCACGGAAAAGTAGGATTGGTTCTTTCCAGTTTCTCAGGGAGAATGTGTCTACATTCAAACTCACAGAAAAGAAATATTACTTACATCTGTTATTAACTTATGAATCAAGTAATGGTATCCTGTTTACAGCATGAAGGCTTTGAGATCAAATAAGTCATGTTTTACTGCACTATTAAAAGAAATTCACTGAAACAAAAAAAGAGTAAAAACACTAACACATGAATAGTAACTGTCTTTATTGTTGGAATTTGGTGATTTTCTCTCTCTGCTTTGTATTTTTTCCATTTCTCCCCCAATTTTCTACAGTAAGTTTGTAACACTTTTTGGGAAAAAAAAAAAACACAAAACATTTTGATCGAAAAAACGCACACGTACGTACACAAACACACACAGAAAAGTGCTAAAAACTGCTGGGTGTTTTCAGGTTTCTTTTTTCCAGGAAGAGAAAATCCTTTGGATCTGCTCGCTGTGATTTGTGCTAACATAACGCAGAACAAAGCATTTCCACCGCACATATCCCATAGAGCAGATACATATTGGAATAATTTTGCGTCCTGCTTTCTGTAGAAGATCAAGTAAATGAATAGAAGCTAACCCCCAAGTGAAAATGGCTCTCCGGAATCCTTGTGTGTTGTAATGTAATACAGATGCTGGTCTATTTCTAATGTAAATGCCAAATGTGCATTGATATAATGGGACAACATGCTTTATTATAAACATGTTTAAACATGTATGTGTTTCATATTTGCATGTCAAAAGACCCATCAATAATTTAATCTGAGTATTTCATACTCCATAAACATAGTAAATATTCAGGTAAAACATATTATTTATACCACCTGATATAAGGACAGTGCAGCTTTATATGTTCAACCTCTACTCATCTGAATATATTCTTTTTCCAGAGCCATTTGTTGGTCTCTAGCCAGGACGTAGTGAAGATTAATAAATAGACATTGGAATATTTTCATGTGTTTTTAGTCTGGAACGTTTTAACCCAAGTATATCTTAACTTTTTATGTGTTAGTAGTTCAGTGTAATTTATTCTCCATTCATTATAGTAGACAACTAAAAATGGTCTATCAGCTAAGTTTTGATTGGAGAATAAACATTACAAAGTCTTCATGTGATTAAATTCGTCTCTTAGAATTCTGTTTAGTTGATTTAAGTTTTTACTTGCAGAGTCCATCTGAAATGGCAAGTATTCTTTTTACTATACTGAGATAAAATGTACAAAAATGTTGCCTTGGTTTAGAAATTAAAAACGATTTCCTCCAATATTTAAATTTTCATCTTAGCCTTCAGTTTCTCTTTGCTAGTGTTTTGTATTTTATCAGAGACACTGATTTGCTTGGGAGGCCAGCCTATTTTTAGGATTGTAGAATCATTCTCTGCAGGTTTGGTTTTTACCTGCTGGCTCTGCTAGAAAGAATTTGGGTGTGAAATTCGGGGGGAGTTTGGGTGACATCAAGTGGAAGAAGGTGAGGGGGCCAGGCTTTGCAGTCTGTGGGCCTCCATGTCTTTGGCTTTGAGATTGGGCTAAATTTCTGTACTCTTTCTAGCTTTTAATGTTCTGTGAGTGTGTGAACTAAAACATCAAGTCTCAAAAGGCAAGAGGGAAAATAAGATTGTTCTTTAAAGCTCTCCCGGTGAAAATTTTAGATCGCCTACTCCGTACTCCATGCTGCTTCCAGTTATGTTGAGGAATTGATCACATTCAGTCCCAGAGGTTTCAACTCAAGCCCCTAAAGCTTTTTGTTTGTTTGATGTAATGTTTTCTCTAATTTAGTAATTTGAGTCAATGCAAAATGAATATTTGTTACTCAACTTTTATACTTAGGAGCACATCATATGCAGTTTTGTTTGTTTGTTTGCCTGGTTTTTATGAGGAAAGCAAAGTTGGTTGTCACCTGAGCAGGTATTTTCAGGACTAAGAAAGGTAAATAAATATCCAGTGCCTGGCGCTTGGCAAGATGCAATTCCCTACATGATTTCATGTAGTCTTTACAGCACACAGAAGAGATGTTTTTTTTCTAGAAATGAAGCAAATGAGGCTTTTTCTAGTCATGTAGCTATAGTTGGCAGATTTTTTTTTTAAAGATTTTATTTATTTGACAGAGATCACAAGTAGGCAGAGAGGCAGGCAGAGAGAAGAATTTGACAGACAGAGATCACAAGTAGGCAGAGAGGCAGGCAGAGAGAAGAAGGGAAGTAGGCTCCCCATAGAGCAGAGAGCCCGATGCAGGGCTTGATCCCAGGACCCTGGGATCACGACCAGAGCCGAAGGCAGAGGCTTTAACCCACTGAGCCACCCAAGCGCCCCCAGTTGGCAGATTTTTGATGGGAATAGGGTCTTCCTGTCTCTAAAGTCGGGACTCTACAACATATTGCTGTTTTTGAATGGGGTAGACTAATGGGTCTGTCTTTGTTCGGGCACCTACAGAATAACTGGGTGACAAGAGATGTTGGAAAGAGGATTCCTGTGTTGGGTGATAGAGTTTCATGTAATACTTAGGTTCTGTGATTCTTTATTCTGTATTTCTAATAATAGGGGAATTAAATACTTGGAGAATTATTTTATTCTTGGCAAATAATCTGTAAGTATCCTATGAAGATAGGGTTTAAAGGGAAGAATAATTGAGTGTATGATTTTTTTTAAAATTCGAGTTTAGCTTTAGGTTAAACTTTTTCTTCTATTTTCCGTTGTGGAAATAGAAATCATATGTTTGCTACTATGTTATTCCAAGTAACCTTCACTTTACTGAAAAGGTCAAGGAGACTTTATGTTTCTCTCTCATGCTCCCCTCTGACTTGTATTTCTCTCCTTTTCTTGTGTGTTGCCAAAACATGCTCAATTAAAACCAACTGTTAATATTCTGTGCATAGGAGAGATGAAAGCTGTACAAATAATGAAAATTCACTCTTGTATAAACACTTTATTTAAATTCACTTTTTACTAATACTACCAAATATTGTTAAATCAATTTGAGTTCTCTGTCCCTATTTTTTATCTATTCTCTTTCTCTCTGTTAATGAAAAGTAAAATGTCCAAGAGACATAACAGAGGTGAGAAGAACCAATACCATTGGTTATGCAATGGGTAAATGATCCTGAGTTAATTTTATATGTAATTGAACAATGTATTGATTTACGTATATTTGTTAATCCTGAATTGTGTAATCAATCACTTGGCTTCTCACTTTTCTTATCATCTATGGAATCATCTTGTGATTTCAAAGTTAGAATCATTTTTATTTCACAATATCCCCTGTGACATTCCCTGGGCCAACTAGGAAAAAACCTCTAATTAAATGCAGAACAACTAAGTTCATCCAGCTAATTTCCAGAGCCAGCGCTTAGATCAGCATAGTCTACTGAGGGATAGATAGCTTCTGGTTTTGGTCAAATCATCCAAGGTTGATTCTAACTTGGAACGTCCCATTGATAGAAGGGAGCTGCTTGCTCGAACTGCCTATAGGGAAAACATTGCAATGTGAGAAATATGTCCAAAAATTGTGAAAGTACAGTAGTTCTCTATCAAAACCATATTCAGGAATAAGAATACCTTATCATGCATTGTGTGTGCTTAAATGTAGCTGTTTTGATGATTTAGGATGTTATAAGTTGTACTCCAAGAGAATTTACAATATATAGATAATCCCCAAACTCTATTTAAATTTCTACACTTTGTTTTTTTTTACCCTCAAATATTTAAATTAGAGGAGTTTACAGTAACCAAATCAGTTTTAATTTACATTTCTGTTTCTGTTTACTCTCCATTAAATATTATGACTTTAAAAAAAAAAAAAGTTAAAAGGGCTTTGCCCAAAGGCTGAAGAATAAGGGGAAGGATCCTGTCAGGAAGAGAAAGATTAAATCTGAGCAATTGAAACATTTAAGATGTAGATCAGAATGTATCTGTAATTAGCAATTGCATTTCTGGATAATAGAATTATTGTTCATTTCTTTTTCTTTCTTTCTCTTTTTAAACAATCTGGAAGGTAACGATGGAGGATTTCAATAAGCCCCTCACACAGTCAACACTATCCCACGAAATTCTGGGGGTATGGTAAATTTTTCAACTAGATTTTAATTTTCAATAACAAATTTAATCTCCTGTCATACTCCACAATTACCAATGTTTAGCCTTTTAGTGATGGGATGTTGTAATTCTGGTATATGTTTTGTGTAGCATGGGTCATGTATGTAAGTTGTGGGTTTATGTTTCTATCAAAGATCATTATGCAGCGTGAAATACAGTCTGCTCATACTAGAAATGATGTATGAGCTGGTGCTGTAGCACTTTTTTGAATTAGAAAATGCATATAGTCGTTCACATTAAAATAAACTTTTATATGCACTTTGAAATTATAGGATTATTTTGGTTTGCTTCTTTAAATATGCTTTTAAAATATGGTAATTATTACATTTTAAAGTCTTAGATTATAGATGGTATTTCAAAGTCTCTTCGGGCAGTAGTTTATAACAAGGTTAATCATCACTCTAGAAACTGAGGCCCCTTCTCTTAAAACATAATTTAAGCTCACTTTCATAATTTTTTTCATTACTGCAAATTAATATAATTATAACTGTATCATGAGAACATTAGCTTTTAGAATCTTTTAAGATATTAAATACAATTTAGAGCAGCTACCTACATGGATATGCATTTTTTATTGCTTGTGTTAACATGTAATGATTAGAGTCAGAAGTACAATGGAGCTATGGTTTGCATAAGTGTTAAATGGTTCATAAGAATATAATTTTTAGGTGAAAAGCATTAAAGGGATAACATTGAATTTGACTCATGCTGTTTGCTGTTCCTTGTTGGAAGCAGCTTGTGTTGTGTGAACAAGAGATTGCAATTATTATGGATGGCCTTTTAATAACGTGAATTGACTTTATACTGTTCATAATGTTGAGAAACTA